CACCCGTGATAAAGGATTTCTACAATTTTTATAAGGTTAATTACTTAGTCTGTCTAGCAGGTATGTTCAATAGATCAGCTGCCCCAATAACCCACCCCTTAGGTCAGCCCCTTGGAGTTGGTCTAGGGGTTTCTTTGCCCTATTTCTTGTTATGTCTCCAGCTCTGGTGGAAAACAAGATGTTCTTGTCAGAAATTCTCTTTTTAAGAATAAGACTAAACAGAATTTCAAGAATGTGTTAGGAAGGTTTAGCTTGTTATTCTAAAATGTGAGAAAGGGCAGGAAAAGTACTAGAAACAATACAACTGTATCTTAAAAATCTACAAAGCTACAAATATATGAAAAAGCTAAGAATCTTTAGGCATGACTATCAGTTGAACATCCCAAAGAAGGAAAAAAATGCTGGGCAAAGAGGAAGGAGCACAAGCTCTTACAGTTCCTGCATCTTCATTCAGCTTGAACAGATGGCCATACACCAGTGAAGTGGAAAGCACATCCACAGCTGGCCATGCAGCCACACACTGCTGGAGATGTAAAGCAACAAGCACTCAAAGCACAGATTCATGCTGAACACCACTTTACAGTACATGCTCTGGCCACACTGAAAACTCACGTCACCAACAGCTGGACTGGAGGAGAGGTAATCTCCCTCAAGAAGTTACAAGTACCTACAAACCCTTCAAGTAGGGCTGGTGACAACCCCAGTCCCCCAACCCTCCAAGCGCTCTGCCTGCCACCTGTTTCTTGACACACCTCAGGTTCTGAACAGTGAATTTTTATTCCAGCACAACAGCTTTCTCCAGAGGGAATTAGTCCCAGGCAATGCAACACTTGCCATGCACTGGATTTATGTCTGCTAGAGTGCCAAGCTCCTTTGCAACTAAGGCAACTTCCACATGTTCTGAGGGATGAACAGTAAGTACCCAGGAATTCCAAGCTTTTCAAGTGTATTTTTCTAAACTCCCTTGCAAACATAAAATGGAAACTGATGTGTGATCCTCTCCCTCCCACCAGAAGGAAAAAAGCCAGAAATCTCCACAGCAGCATGACCAGCTCTACCAAACTATAAAAAACTCTGAACTAAAATAGAACAACAAAAACACAAAGCCAAAACCATCCCCCATTTTCCCTAAAACACATCATCTTCAATGTTTATGATTAAATGAGCATCTCAGGGAAAAAAAACCAACTTATTGGACAACAGAATCTGTGATGGATGAGAAGAAAAACAGAAGTTCAGCTCAGCAGATCCCCAAAAGGGGACAAGGAAGGTCCTCCTCAACCCAGTCGGTTGTGGGTCAGCACCACTGAAATGCCTGCTCCAGCAGCAGCCCTGCAACAGCATTTCAGGAGCTGCAGAAGGCAGGGTGGTGCCAGGGGGTGAATTCACCTGAGATCAGCTCAGCAGATATCCAGACCTTCCCCCATTCCCAGTAACTGCTGCTCAAGCCATCAGGCTGGGTCAAAACCTGGTACTGGCTGACACATGTGTCAGTTGCAAGTGGCCCTCCTTAATACTTTTTTAACTTTTCTTTTTTAAACATTTTACCTTTTTTTTTTTTTCCTTTTTGAGCTGTTTTCTCCCTTTTTTTTTTCTGCTTGTGATTAAATCAGCTCTGTCAAGACACTGCATTTACAACGCCACATACCTGCTGCCACTTGATTTCCAACTAGGCAGTGAAAGTTATTAAAGAAAAAATAATTAATGCAATGGCTCTTCACCCCAGCCAGAAGGTGACATTTTATTCCTTCCTGTGATCTAGAAAAACAGCATTCTTCTCTTGATAGATATTAAAAAGATGGGGGGGCAGGGGGAAACCATAGGGCAGGAACCTTTACTATCAATCCAGCACTGCTCACCCTCAAATTACTACACCTGAATTGTAAATTTATTGAAAATGCCACACAGCTTCTTTTACCAACACATTCATGGCCAACAATTCCCTTCCTTCCCTCAGCACACACTCATAAATATTTTAGAAGAGGAGTCTGGCTCATCCTTTATCTTCACCAGACATTATCTACCAAATGTGTTGCTAGTCCTGGGTCACCAGCCTTTCAGTCAAGGACTGTTCTTTGCTTAATACATGAAAGAGCTGCAAGTATCCATACACTGTAAGAAAGAACAGACCATGAACTAAGATGATCACATGGATGTTCTCTTTTCAATAAATGTTTCTGTACAGAATTTCTTGTTATAGAAAAACTCCATCAATTAATTAAAAAGAAAAAATAAAAAAAAAACCCACACCAAAAACAAACCCCTAAAACCCCCAACAAAACAAAAACAAAACCCCATCTTCCTCCCCCACCAATAAACCCAAAACTTTAGGAGAAAAAAAGCAGGTAAACTACACACAGTTGAACAGAGTGCAACACCAGGTTGGTTCCCAACTGAGGGGATGCAGATCAAGACAGTATACGAAACTAGGCTAAATGTGACAAAAGCTGCACCCTACACACATCAGTCTGATTGCTGATACACTTCACTGTTGTAATGCCAATGTTACCCACCAAAAAGTCCTTCTTGGGAAAGCAGGACCACAAGGAGAAAAAGTCACTGTAGCTGCAAACCTTTTTCTGAAGGCTAAGGGTTTGTTGGTAGGCCAACCACACAAACTGCTGCATGGCAGCAGGGAGTAAGCATCTCCCAAGCAGCTAAAGCCTGGTTTCCAGGGGCAGCAGACCATGGGCACAGGGTTGCCACAGCACATCCTAAACTGCAACAAAGGGACAAGTAACATACTGAAAAAGGCAGCAGCTTCAGGAACTGCTGTGGTACATAGACAGTTGGAGCTGCTTTAGGAGCCTTGCTAATTTTCAGTCAGGAAAGGCATCCTTCAAAAACAAAATGTTAAAGGTGGAAAAACATCTAGCAACTGTGGAAGGAGACACAAAAAAAAACCCAAACCAATACATCTTCACCAGCACCTCCAGCAGACAGTTCCTGCTGGGTTGCAGCCCCAGTTCAGGGGCAGCAGTAGGCACTGCCACAGATGAGGCCATTCCAGTCCACAGCATTTCTCTTTCCACCACCAGCAGTTACAGGTGACAAAAACATAGCTTGCTTTTTGGGGAGCACTGGCATCAAAGGTTGTGCACATTCCTCCAAGTAACCAGGGCACATGACTCATCTGCAGCAATGCTGCCAGTTCAGAAACAACACATACAGGCCCATAATACAGAGTAATAAATACAGCACTAAAATGGCAAGGCAAGTGAGAGAAGAGCAAATGCATGTAGTCACCAAGTGATATTCTGCATAACAGGTTATTTAGAAGCACTTTGTACAGATTCAAGACTTGGCTCCTCTGCCCAGTGACTGATTCAGGATTTGTTCCCACTTCCTGAAAGGACAGTTCCTCACCCCACCCCATCCCCATTTAGGTGTTCACAGTTCATCAGTGGAAATTCCCTTCCTTGCCCCTGCCAGCAGCAAACATTTTCAGAAGGCTGCCAGCCTGAAGCAAAGAAGCTCACACCAGGTGAGAAACCCTTCTGCATAGGCATCTTTAGAATTTCAGGCTCTCTGCCACCCTCATAAGCTACATCAATCAGCAGCACCACCACAAGGTTGCAGGTTTTCAATATGGCTGCTTGCAAGTATAAAAGCTTATTGGAGGCCTTCTGTCCATTAAGAGCTCTTCATCCCCTGTTGTGCAGTGACAGTATTTTACACTTTTTTATGCAAGGCTGCTGATGAACACGGAGTCATAACAAATTCTCTGCCGTATCTTCAGGCATATTATTGCATGCTATCTATCTACCCTGAGTGCCATGGAATTTAATTCAGAAAATATAAACAAGATTTTCATGCTTTTTTAAATGTTTTTTTTTTTCATGATTTAAAAGGATACCACCAAAAACATTTAGAGACCTTGCTATTGCCTCTAGCTATTGCCATGAGCAAAGACAACAGAACCCCTTTAAAAGATTTAAAGTGTTATGCTTTTTCTACCCTTCAATACAGAAGTTACCATACAAAGCAGTATTTCCAATGATAAAGTAATTCTGTTTTAGATGAATAAGAAGAAAAGCCCAAACATGCAATTGCATACACTTTTTACCAGATGCAGTAATTAAAAACCCAAGGTTAAAAAAACCAAAAAGCAAACATGAAGTCATCATCAAGTTTTCTGTTTTATTTAAGATTTTAGTTTTAATTTTGAAGAAAGAGGTACATTTCCTTGGTTTTAGTTTTAGCGTCAGGTTATAACCATGTTTATTTATCTGTTTTCTTTTTTCCTGTCTTTTCAATACTGCACAAACGTCCAGAAACTACAGGGTTAAGTAAAAGCTGCAGGCAGAGGAGGTCAGAGGTTGCTCCTGATGGTGATCATGTGGCCCCAATGCAGTGCTATCCCAGAGTGCCCTAAACAGGTGAATCTTTTTTTTTCTTAAAAAAAAAAAAAGAGAGACTGACAGAGGAGACAGAAAGACTGAAGTAAATATCACTCGTGTTTCAGCTGCTTATATTATGTATATGCTAGGTATTAAATCTGTGAATACTTTTAAAACATTAAAGTTTACTTGAAATCTAAAGCCAAAATTAAAGAAAAATCTTATTCTCCCCTCTTTAAACCACTCTTTAGCAACATGCCAGTTACTCATACCTATAAGTGTTTTGTCTTTCAACACACTTCATGTCAAACTCTGACTGATGCAATAAAATCCCCTGCTCAAAAGAAAAAAAAAACCAAAAAACAAAAAAAAAACCAACCAAAAACCAACCAACCCCAACATAGCAATTTCCCTGTGTAGTGCCACACTGAATGCAAAATAAATGCTGGGTCACTGCTTGCCCCACATGTTCAGTAACTTCATTTAAATTAAATATCTTTTTTATGTTCTTGCATTTGATTCTGCATTGCACTTTTCCCCCTACTGCAGATTGACACTTTTCCACTAGGCAGAAATACTCATGTGCAAAAGACGTAAGACACTAATATTCTCCTTAAGCATTGAGACTTGCATTTTGATTTCTCTCTCTCTTTTTTTTTTCTTAGAATGGTTAGAAAGTATTTCAAACAGTGTATTTCAAACACTGGTTCTGCAGAAACTTAACAAAAAGAATGGTCGTGACCCTGTGATGGCATTGCATTTGGGGGGGGAAGTTTGATCAGGAACTGGATTCTTCAGAAAGAAAGATATGACAGGGAACAGTAGGTGGGCATGGGGAGGAGTCAGGGTGGGACACTTCCTGCATTTCTAACGTTTTGGGTCTTATTTTTCTTTTTTTCTTTTTCCTCCTTTCCTAATGACGATCCAGCGCTGAGCTCTGTAGTAGATCTGTGGGGGTTTTACTGGGGGGTCTGAAGGCTGTCTGAAAGCCTGGAGGTGGGGAATGGAAGCTGGTGGGGTTTGAAGGAGGAGAGTAGGGATTCCAACTGGCTCTGTGCAGAGGGATCTGTGTGCCGAAGGGGTTACTGTGGTGCGTCTGTGATGGTGCTGCACTGGGGCCGTCCACCTCTGTGAGGGCCTGAAGAGATTTTAGCCAATGTGGAGGATTGTCATCTTGAAGGGTGTCTAAACTGTTTCCTGTGGAGGCTGGGATACCTAAGAAAAGAAGAAAAAAACAGGGATACAGGCAAGTCAGAGGAGAAACAATAAATCGACCATGAAGGAGGTCAATTTAACCTAGCAAAAAGCAACAATGAAAAAACATGATTAGTTTGTACAGCAAATGCATTTTACATTATTACGTATAATTACGCTGGCCGCAAAAACACATAACATTAAATCGAGATAGGAGAAAGTTCACCCTCAGAGCACTTCTTCAAAAAACACACATTTTTCTACCAAACATTCTGCTCGAAAACTGCATCCCTGTCAACATGACCTTACCACACCAAGCTGCCAGTATGCTGGCACGTACATGCTTCACCTTTTACTCTGCCTACTTGAATCATGCTTCAGCCTCTCTAACAGGGAAACACAACCAGACAGCCTTATAAAAGAGAGCTTTATAAACAAGTGGAGTACGTCCCTTTTTAAATAACAATAGTCCAGTGATTGCCTTCAGTGCCTCAGGACCAGCGACGCACATACCGGACATGCCATCCAGCAGAAGGGACACCTTATAGATTGATCCTATAGGAAAGCACTGATCCACCTGACTGCCTGTAAAGGTCCTGGGCATGCATTGCAAAGGCCTAAGTGACGCTCTGTTATACCTAGAGGTTCCACAAAAATTCCTGGACCCTTGAGGTTTTGTGGATGGAAGCTGGAAGAGACCACCGCATACTGACTTTTTCTTTTTTCTTTTTTTCCAGATGTAAATCAGCTTGTGCCAAATACCCATTTGATGGTTTGCCAGTGGAGCTGAAGGAGTGAGAAACGGTTACCTGTGATGATTGCGGGGTCCATCCAGCTGCCAGGGCTGTCCCAATTCAGGCTGTCGGTGGTGGCAGTGTTGGACGTTGGTACACTGTGGTTGGCGTTGGAGGGGGAAGAAGCATTGGGCAGTCCACCAAAGTTGATGTTAATGTTCGGTAGAAGTGCCCTTAGCCCGTCCTGCCATTCCTTCATATTTAAACTCTCTACAGAACTGCTGTTGTCTGGGAGATTTACCAACAAAAAAAATGAAAGATAAAAAAATAAAAAGCTGAAGTTAGAAACAGATGTCCTTCTTTGGTGGGGTATGGGATTTTGCTTTTACTTTTTAAGCTAAGCATTTAATATTTTCCCTATCCAAAACCTAGGGTCAATGCTTCCAAGATTGATGAATTACTCAGAGGGGCTGGCAGGTTTTAAACAAAGTGTAAAGGAATGGGAGAAAGATATAACTCCTCCCCCAGTATCTATCTCCCCATTTTGACTGAGAGACTCAAATAATCAAGGACACAGTGTCTCTCCCTCTATTACTAACGGGAAAATCTACCAGGTACTTGATGAGAATACCTCTGCTGCAATTTGGCTGCTTTATTGATGGGCAGCAGGCTCAAAAGGGTTGTTTGATGTATATCAAAATGAAGAAAGGCTAGGTAGGGCTTTGCAATAGAAATGGAACGTGAGAAACCAGGGAGGCTGAGGAAAATCACAGATGTCTTTTGTTTTGTTATAGCTTCCTCATTCACAGCCCTACAGATGTTCTTCCGAAGGAAATGGTAATGAAGTTGGACGGAGTGAAATTTCCTCTTGCAGTTGAAGAACAGTAGTGAAAATTCTTTAAAGACCTTTCAGAATAACTTCCGACACAGCAATATCCTCAAAATTTTGGTAAGAAGCAAACCAGCTGGACACCAAAGCAGCCAAGTCTCAACTACTTGCCTGAACATTTCAAGACATATTGCTAAAGGACAACAGAATAATGTGGCTATTGGCACTACAGCAAACGATCCCTCAACACAAAAGTTACACCGTGCTATCTAGAACAGACTATCCGGTTCTGTGATCCATCTCCCACTTCAAGTATCTTAAAGCAGGAGAAACCAGACATGAACATTCCAGTATTATCATCCAATACAGGAAGTCATCCTTTATTAGCTTGTGGTCAGTTATATTTGGAACAGAAGTTTTAGGCAGTGTGCTGGCTCATGGTTGCCTTTTTGACAAATATCTAGAATAAAATTTATTTTTTTAAAAGATCTCTGCCCATCCTGATTGAAGAAAGGACCTTGATCTCCATCAGAATTGTTATAAAGAGATACTTTCACAATACTGTACTTTATCAACAACATAAGAGATTTAAGTCTTCCTGGAAAATTAGAGGATAACTCATAACCTTATGTTGGAGAGTAAAGAAAGCAGTCTCAACTGCTATCAAAACCTGCTCTGGCAGTCTTTGTAAAGCTGAATGCTTAGGAAAAAGTGTCGTCTTGAGCAACTACCTTTTTCTAACCAGAGGGAGGGGAAGAAAACCCCCAAAACAAACAAAAAAAACCCTACTTCTTGAAACCTTGTCCTTTCACAGCTCCTCCTTTTTCCTTTGCAATACTAATGCACAAAATAAATGTTTTTAAAGAATTCGGAGCCATACGTTTTTCATTGAAACCCACAATCCTGAGATTAATAAATCAAAATTAAAATTTTAGAAAGTATTAATGGAAATGTCCTCAAGAGATATTTGTTCACAACCCTCTTGAACATCCATAAGCCCATTCAAGACAAGTTCTAAATTAACTTTTTGTAACAAGAGTAACAAGCTCACCATCACAGAAATAACTGCAACAAATTCTGTGTTATACACCATTAGTTTCCACTTTTTTTTTTCCTCACTGCTGCTTCAAAAAGCTTGTGCGAAGAAACACAGCTCTGTTTAATTATTCATTCCTACTGCAACGCAAAAAGCACACAAAAATGATTACTGGGTCCCTACATGAGTGAACATACTCATCTCAACACCTGTGAGCTAGGGATCTGCAAGGGTCTCAGTGACCAACTTTACTAACACCCACCACATCCTCAAAACTCTTGTGTAAGAAAAATTAAAGTGTAGTACACTACAAGCAACATGTCATGGAAGAAGAGTAAGACAAAACCTGCAGACTGTTATAAGGAACAGGATAGGAAAATTAATACCACAGGGCATTAGGCTTCCTTGTATGTTTTTGTCATGTTATTCTCCATTTAAAAAAAGACATAATACAGCACACATAAGGGTCAAGAAAGGTAGCAATGATTAGATACATGACTCTCATGGAATGGAAAAGGCTGGCACTTTCTGGTGAGGAGACATTGCTGTCTGAGGCAGACATAGTGCACCACTGCTGTGTACTCTAACACAAAACAACAGGAATTAAGAAACTGAGGGACACTGCTCTTTACCTCAACTGTCTGAACAAAATCTACTTGGATTCACAGAAGTCAAGAGATGAAAGGCCTAAAAGGAATCAGTATCTACCAAAACAGTGTTGTTTGCTAGCTATAGGAAAGTTACCTTAATAAAATCTTGTGCTTCTAGGTATAAAAGTGACAAAATGGAGAATTACAAAATTTTATTGTCTTTCCCATACAGGCATGTTAGTGAGGCTGCAAAGCAAGCTAGGACAAAAACATTGTCCCCTGATACAAAAAAACCCAAGCAGCACATGTCTTTGCTGGAATCTGGCAAGTTTAAACAGCCTAAGTGAAAATGCAACTCCACCCCAGAGACAAAAGTTACTTCTACCAGGTAGAAAGGAAATTAATTTCTTCAGAAATCATTACTCGTGCCTCAGCTAGTTTGTTCTTCCTGTTAAATAAGTCTATGATTCATGATGAAGCTAGGACCATAATTAAAAATGGGAAAAAGCTAGCTAGTTAATACAGACCTATTAAAAAGGGCACTTGCCTATTACCTTTCCCTACTTCTGAAGTTAACTGGTTGGAAGGAGTAATTTTCTGACTATTAGCAGACTTCTCAGTTGGACATTACAACCTAGGGGTGTGAGAACCGATACAACACCATTTCCCTCTCTCAAGAAGTGAAAATGCTGCCTCCTTCCATAGGCTAATCTTAAAAAGGCTTAAAGCAGCATGCCCACTGATAGTGGGAAAACACAGAAGACAACAAGGTAAAACCCAGGTGACTGCAAGGAAAGTATTTATATACCAAGATAAGTATGAGATTCCTCCCCTCATGCCCTAGCTTTGTCTCCCAGAAGAGAGAATAACCTGGTGAAGCACCACTGAAAGCACCACTATTGCCATGAAAAGCATTCTCAAACACACACACTGAACTCTGGTCTTCCCTTGATGTACATGTCATAATCCTGTCTGGTCTAGTGGAAACTTGGGTTTACAGGGGTCAACAGATCCCACAGTTCTAGCACTGAAATGTTCCCGTGTTCTGAGGCAGTATGTCAATGTGAAATAAAAGCACTTGTACGTAAAATTTGCAAAGTCAACCTCTGTCTTAGAATGAGAAAAGGAAAGAAAAAAAAGCTTTATCACAAATGCAACTTGTCCATCCACTCTAAATAATAATAATAAAAACCCCATCTGAAGCTAACTTAAGAAAAAGAATATATCTGAGAAGCCTGAACATTAATTTGTATAAAACTAGTAATTTAATGAATTTCTAAATAAAATAACTTCTCCATTATCACATCCTACCAGACAGTCAAATAGTTTTACCTCTACCTGCAATGCCTTAACACCATTTCTTCAAATCAGGCAAAGCAGTGTGTATTTGGGGGAGAGGCCATGAAGAGGATTAATGGCCTAGCCAGAATATTGTTCTGTTGCACATAATCAGTACTTTTGAAGATGTTTGCACAATTGTCTGCTGCACTGATACAGACTGTTCTGTGACTTCCAAAATTCTGACAATGACACTGCAATAGAGACCCAAATGATGTGTCAAATTTGGCTCTATCACTTTGGTGACATTGATGCACTCAATCTTTTATACTGGTGCGATAGCAGAACTTCCAGTTTTCTTGGTGTGAGACAAGCCCACTAAAATGGATATTCCACAGTGACTAGACCATTTCAAATCATTGCCCCCAGTCTGATACAAGCCTATGGTAAAATCCAAAGCAAAATTCAGCCGGTACATGCTTAAGTAAATACAACCAATAGGAAAGATCATGAGACTGTTACATTAAGTACAAAACAAGTGTTAGGTCTTTGCTCTACCAAACTTACATTCCAAGCCATTACAGAAGCCTATTTTCATGCTAATTAAGTAAAAACATTAAATACCTCTACTCCAAGTCTTAAATATTCTAGTCCCACTGAAAAGCAAGAAGTCCTGCAAATCTAGGTTGCAATTATTTATTTTTAAAGAATCCATCAATATGTGTGACCTAGACACGCAACAGTGTGTCAACTACAAAAAAGCTTCAAATAAGCAAAATAAAATCAGAGGAAAATCATCATGAGAGATAAACTCCTAGCCAATGCCACATACCTGACTGCAAAGAGAGGCAACAAAAGAAGCCAAGAGACTATCAAGTTGTATTCAGTAATAGAATAGCTATTTCAACAACCTGCCTGTAAAAAGGCCCTTGTGAAATCTTCAAGGACACTGTACAACAAATTTTGAAGCCAGAGAAAAACGAGAGAAAAAATGAACAGGAAAGACTACCAGGAGTTCACCAAGAGTCTTTCAATTCAATTATAAACAATTGGGGCTACCAGAGAAGCACACCCTTTCAAGTTATATCTCTGGTCCCACTCTCTGCTTTGTGCTACCATGTTCACAGACAGCACAAATTGTACGTGCTTTCCCTGAAACAGCCCTATTCTGAGAAGTGACTGAAGCTTCTCTATTTTGATCTCAAAGTGACTTTTCACTATTGGTATTTCTGTTTTGAAAATAGTTGTCCAGAACTTCCCCTTGAGGGGGAAAGAAAAGGAAAGGACAATTTGTCGCATCCAAAAAAGAAATTATGACCATCACATTACATCAACTCAAAAGTTTTTCATCCAAAGCATACTTAAACATCAACAAAACAGTTATAAGAACTATACCTGTTTCACTTTAGTATGAATAATAAGTTTGTTTGCTCATGAATTTTTTTAAGCATGAATAAAATCCCATTTAAACTTCTGTGACCTGAAGGATTTCTCTCTGTTTCATTGACTCTACATCTACAATTCCTAGTAATCCTACAATGTTTAAACCAAACAA